GGAAGTTCAATGGAAGCCTCTGGAACTGCCTCCGTGTTCACCTACAAAATAGTAAATTCAAACCAATATTGCATGCTGGAGGAATGGCAGGGATTGGTGCTACCCTTAAATATGTAAGGGATGCAGGACTGATGGTCCCCATCATATCCCCACCTAATTTATCAGTCCGACTCCTACAAAAATTAGATGGACTCTGGCAGTTGATAGTGGACTACCATAATCTCAAGCAAGTAGTAGTCCCTATTGCAGTGGCAATGCTGGATATGATATGATAAGTCTGTGCAGTGTTAAAACACTCCATGGGAGTTTATGGCAAGCCCCAATAAGAGGGTTACAATGTAGACCCCTAGAGCTCTAGAGCAAGGTCATTCCATCCACAGTAGAGAACTATACAGCATTCAAAAAGTGGCTCCTACCATGCTGCTTGTCCTTGGGAGGACAGAACATCTGACCTTGTAATATCAAGTGGCCTTGTGGCCAGAGTTGCCCATCATGAGATGGGTTTCTTTCAGATTTGCCAAGGTTGGGTGGACTCACCAGCAATCCATCATCATCATCATCTTCATCGTCATCATCATCATCACCCAGTGTCAGGCATGAGCAGGGTCAGAAGGCACCAGTAACCTGCACAAGTGAGTGGCCAGACCCCTGTGCCATCCTTCCTTTTGCCCCAGTCGCTCTCCCTTGGCAGACACCTATGGTTATGTGAAGGGTTCCTTACGACCAGCTGTCAGAGGAGGAAAGAGCAGAGCTTGGTTAACAGTGGGTCTGCTCAATATGTGGGTGGAAGCCAAGAAAGGACTCCTGCTGCACTGCAGTCCTGCTCAGTGAAAGATAGCAGTCAGGGGAGGTGCTCTCAATGGACGGAGCATCAGGGGGTACTCTGGGGCCACCACTTTGTGTGAAAGTATAAGTGGCCCAAGGTAACAACATGCGTGGAAAGAATATACACAGACTCAGAATCAGTGGCAAATGGTTGGGTTGATTGGACAGGAACCTGGAACGAGTAAGATTAGAAGAACAGAGGATGAGATCTGGGCAAGAGACATGTGGATGCACTTATGGAAGTGAGCATGAAGTATTAAGATCTTTGTATGGCATATTAGCCCCCACCTGAGATCGCCCACCCCCAAATCAGCACTAGCATCCAAATATCTTCTTCCTGCAGAATCTTGGGCTTTGGCCAATGGATTGGCTGGCTTATCATTTGGGTTTCAGCTTCTTTGCTTTAGAACTTCCTCGACAACCTTAACTAAGGGCTTTCCCCCTCTATAATATCATCTTCTTTTTATTTTCTTCATCGTTCTTAAATAAATCTATTTATTGTATGTGATCTGTGTCTTTGATTAGTCTCTAACTGATGGAGAAGGGACATCTTTGTCTTATTCACCACTTTATCCCCTATGCTGAGAACAATTCTTGACACAGAGTATGCCCTCAACATGTATTTGTTGAATGAAAGAATAGGGCTTAGCAAGGTTAAGTAACTTGCCCATGGCCACATGGCTAATGAGTGCTACAGCTGGGGTTTGAACCCAGACTCTAGAGTGCTGGCTTTGTGACTTTGGCCTAGATACTTAATATCTGTTTTTATACCTTAGTTTCTTCATCTGTATATAGGGATAGTAATAGTATCTATCCCTGAGTTATTGTGAGGATAAAAGGAGTTAGCATATACAAGCATTTAGAAAAGAGCCTGATACATTTTTGGCATGGTACAAGTGCTCACAACTATTAAGTAGTGGAATGGGATTTAAACTTGGGTCTGATGGGTATTTGGTTTTGATGGAGAGTCTAAGTGGCATTTTTGAGGGCACTGGGAACTTTCGGGGAGGGGACAGGGACAATAAAAGGAAAGGGTGGGTATTTGATGTAAAGCTACCTTCATACTCTCACCAGTCCTTGCGCATCGAGTGCCTAATGGATACAAAGCACAGTGGTGGGCACTATGGGAAACTCAAAGGAAACTACAATATGGTGTCTGTCCTCAGCTGGTCTTGCCTTAGGACACAATGTTTTAAATGCTTACAGCCACATCATTGAGGCTCAGTGCTGAACCAGGAAGTGCCCTCCTCCAGGGCTGAGGGTAGCCAGGGCCCTGTGGCACCTGCTGCCATTTCACACTCTTTACATACTCCGCCAATCCAGATGCGTGGAAACATCTATAGAAATCTCGGGACGTCTTTCTCGGATATTGACTGCAACTTCATTTTGACTTAAGTCACTGAATTTGTCCTCCTTGCCTGAGAAGTAACTCCCCCGTGGCCTTTGACCTGACTCACTTTGGGCTTGACTTCTGGACTTCTGACTGCCAAGGACCTCGAGCACTGGCTCGGGTGGAATTTATGGGCCAGGAATGCTTGAGTTTATATCACTGGCTGTTGGAAGCACATGGCCACATTTTTGTTCCTGACACTGAAAACTTTGCCCAAACTACTCTGGGGTGAATTGTATTGAACTTTGCCTGGTTATTGTGCCAGTGTTGTTTGCTGAATGCTCTAGTGAGAGCTGAGCTTATACTGATCACATGATGTAACTGTAAATTTTAGTGTTTGGTTTGAAATCCAAGAATCAAGGTAGACGACAAGGCCCATTATACCTTATTTTGTAGGTTCATTCATTGCTCCAGCCACATTACATTCTGCATTTCTGCCAGAGCGGGATGATTTCACATAGGATGCTAGGAGAGTCATTACTTTGCTAACATTAGGAATTTGGTTTCTTCTAACGTGGATGTGTATGAAATATTCTTATCCAGCAGCTCATTTTGCTCTTCCTCTTCCCCTGGCAATGAATTACCAGCTTCTCCTTTGCTCTTGGTCTCAGAAAAGGTTATATGTTGTTTTAATCACATGTGTAATATAATACCTATTAGTACTAATGGGATGTATTCTTTCATTGGGACATAATTGCCAATAGTATGCAAATCAGCTCACTTGTTCTTTCTCCAATGTTTGCTGAAGGCTCCGTTCACGGGCAACCCATGGTCACCTCCTCACTCTGCTCTGAAAATTTTCCATTACACGTCTTAATCATGAATTTTTTTCTTTTTTTTGCCCTCTGCTTAAGAAGTGAATTAGGGCAGTAAAAATTGAGATGACAACCATTTTTAGATTGAAAAGAACCTCTTCTCCTTGATGCCAGAACCCACTGTTGCATTTTTATATTTTTCTTCTTTTTACGTCACCAATTAGCGCCTCAGTGATTTTTACGTCTGGCATGCTTGTGGTGTGAACCATAAAAATTCTAGTTTCAAAGATGCTTTTGCTCTGTTCTGTGGAAAAAATCCCCTTTATCGAAAAATTTCTCAGGCACAAGGGATCATACTTTAAGGTGCATCACAAACAGCATTTGTCCAGACAGTCAAAATAATTTTAGAAAATGCGTGGGTCTGATAAAAGTTAATCTGACGAGTACCCAGAAAGAAGAACGTAATATTGGAAGAGCATCTACTATGTGTCAGGCACCAAATTTGCCTTATATCATTTTGTTTTCTTAATTGACAAGGCAACTAAAGTAACTTGCCTGAGTTCATCTGTTTATTTGACCATTCATTCTTTTACCAAAAAATTATTTGATGAGCAGTAGTTTGTTCCAGGCATTGTAGGAGGCACTGGGGAGCACACTGAATGTGGTACGCTTGATCCCTCCCTGATGGGGCTTGCCATCTAATTGGGAGGACAGATAAAATATAACCAAACAAAGAAATAAATCAACAAAAACAATGGCAGAAAGCGCTCCAAAGGCAATAAATAGGGAGTTTAGATAGAGTATAATTGGGGGTGCAGGGTGGGAGGGACGTCTCAAACTTGCATATCACAATGCAAATAGGGACTGGAGCCTTGATTCAAGCTCAAGTTAGTCTGGCGCCAAAGCTATTCCTTCCATTACACTCACGTCAAATGGGCAATTCCATTCTGAGTTTTGATCATGATCATGGTGGCTAGCATTTCCTGAGTCCCTACTTAGTGCCAGGCCCTATTCAGTTTTATGTGTTTCTTCAGCTACCTTATGAAGTATGAATTATTTTTTCCCCATTTTGCAGATGAGAAACCTGATCCTTAAGAGAAGTTTCAGCTTGCCCAAGGCGACACAGTACCATTTTCTCTTTGGCCCCAATGCTCATGTTTCTAGCAGCTAGATTTTATAGCCAACCTTTCTTCCCAGAGGTGAAGGGGTTGTGTTCTCCTTGGGATCAGAGGCCTAGGCAATGTGGACTGGCTCATGGGACATTTGGTCTCTCTCTCTCTCTGAAAAAAAAGCAAGATCCATGCCTGAACCCTGGCAGTCAAGAGGAGCATAGATTTTGAAGCGAGCTTTACTTCTTTAAAAGCATCGTATATATTTTTCAGATTAAAAAAGTCTTATGTGCTCATTATAGGTGATTTGGGGAAAAAAAGGATAGAGAAGTGTAAAGACAAGAATAAAAATCACTTACAGTTCCATCACCCAGAAAGGGCAGTATTTTTTCAGTGTATAATAACACAGATGACAGACAGTTATATAGATAGCACTTATGACGTACAAGGTGTAATTCCACATGCCTTAAATATATTACCTAATCAATACAGTGACCCTACATGGAAGGTGCTATTAACATCCCAGTGTTATAGATAGGAAAGCGAGGTAAAGAATGGTTAGGTAACATTCCCAAGACCACAGGATCAAAGCTAGCCAGGCAGCCTGGTTCTGGAGTCCAGGCTACTCATCCCACCTCTGTATAAAAAGAGAGAGATATATTTTTTTATAAACCCAGGATCTTGTTTTGCATACAAATTTAGATTCTGCTTTTTAAGTTCACATTATTTCATGGGCATTTTTCCATGTCCTTATACGTTCTTCAAAATATTTTTAATGGCCGTATGGATATATTTTATATAACCACCTCCTACTGTTACACTCTTAGGTTGTTTCTACTTTTTTTTGGTAATTACAAAAAAATGATGCAATGAACATCCATGTACACCAATCTTTGACCAGCTTTTTGATTATTCCCTCAGGACAGATTCCTGGAAGAGGATGACTCGGTCAGAATTTTTGGCATTTCTTCAAACCTGTGGTGGAAAAAAAGTGTTAAGATGTGTGGCACAGATTTAAATCACATAAAAACTTAGGAAAGTTAAAGATCTGTGTGGGCTGAGTGAAAAAACAATCAGCGGAGGCTTCCTTAAGGAGGTGAGTGGAGTATGAGCCGGCTGTGAACAATGAGAGGCAGGAGTCCGACAAGGGGAGAGGTTCTCTAAGGCTCTGGGCATCCATCTTTCATAAGTCAGTTGACTTGGGCAGGCGGTTGGTGAGAGAAGGCTTCTTGGAGCGGTGTCTTCAAGGCTGAAAAGGGATTTCTAAGGCAGTCAAGGGATGCGAGGAGAAGAGGTAAGTGGGTCTTTTAGGCAGTGGGAGCAACGTAGGCAGGCCCAGAGGTGTGAGAGAACGTGAAGGAAAGATTTGGGAGAGGAGCAGAGAAGAGGTAGGCAGGGGCTAGACCATGAAAAGGCCTGTATGTCACATTCAGAAAGACGGATTTTCTTATGTAGGCCATGGAGAGTTGCTGAAGAGTTTGAGCTTAAAAAGTGATCTGGTCATATTTGCATTTTTGATAGCACTGCCATGCCAGGGAGTAGATGGGACAGAAGCAGGTGAGGCAGTGGAAGATTCTCCTGGGAGGCTGTTTTGGGGACTCACAGGAATAACCCTGGCATAGTCCTGTTCCCCATAGCTTTGCCTACGGCGGGGCCCATGGCCCTCTTCATCATTCCTTATGCCTCGCCAAGAGTAAGACAGACTCAATATTTATAAAACACTGACATGGAAATGAAAAAGCTGCAGAAACAAAGAGCACAAACACTTCCTCTACATTTTGAGAGTTAACATCCACGAGAAATATGCCTGTATGTTGGAGCAGAAAATAATGAGGCAATATACTTCCTTAAACAGATTCAGTTCATCATCGCCGGGGCCCAGGAGAAGGGGAGGATGGTTGGAGGGACAACTTCCATTGTTGGTGGTGCTGGCTGCTCCTTTCCAAGCAGACAGGTCACTCAGTGCTTTCTTGCAGGCAATTATTTTCGGGATGACTGGAGATTTCGATCAACCAATCAAGCTTTTATAGAAGCCACTTTCCTTGATTATGTCCCTGATCTTTAACTCGGGAAGAGATTTTCCTCAGTATGGCTTGACAGCCTCAAGTTTGCAATTAATTTCTCCCTCCCCACCTCCTGCATCTTGCTTTTGCTTTCAGTTGGGAAGCAGTAGTGCTCATAGGCTCACGAGAACTTCCTGTGTAGGGTGTGTGTGCGTGTGTGTGTCTGTTTTAAAGGCATCTGAAGCCTCATTCTGGCCTTCTCTCAATGAGGAATGTCCCATGAAAGAGCAGAAAGACTTGTGAGCAGGAAGCTGAGTGAATAAGGAGAGTTGAGGAGATTGACCAAGGGTGTACTGTAGGGTGTAGAGGACTCTGACCCCTGGGGTGGCTGGATTCAGGGCCAGCCCCAGGAGGATGTGGAATGAGGCAGGATCAGTGTTTTCAAATGCAGGAGGCATATCCTTGCTTCAAAATACACTGATGAATATTTTAAATTTTAATGGATACACATCTATTTCAGTGTGCTTTATTCCATGGAAATGATTGCTTTTCTTTTAAAATAAAGTTATTTGCATAGTATATAAGTGTCTTAAATAAAAATGTTAGGTAAATATTAGTTCAGATGTTATGTGGAAGGTGGCGAGTTTCTTGAAGCCAATACCTGAATGTTTTAAGATTAAGAGACACTGGAATGAACTTTGGAACCAGAGAGACGTGGATAAAATTCAAGCTCTGCCTCTTACTAAATGTGTGTCCATGGGAAAATTACTGAATATCTTTGCACCGTACTTTTTCCATCTGTAAAATGGGCATGTAAAATCTACCTTTTGGCGTTGTTGTGGGGTTTAGAGATCGATTTGTTCATTCATGTATTCATTCGATCATTAAACATTTATGGAGTGTCTGCTATGGGCAACTCATTGCCTGGGGACAGGGAATACCACAGTGAATCAAACAAAGTCTCTGTCCTCTTGGAGCTCCCATTCTAATGGGAGGCAGGGACAGACAATAAATGCGTAGATAGATAGGTAAGAAACTGTCAAATTCTAAGAAAAACACAGCAGAGTAAGAGAGAGGTTAAAGCAGAGCCTCTGAGACAGGGATGTGTTAGGTGTGTTTGAGGAAATCCTGTGGGGTCACAGTGCGGTGGAAGTGATGGAGAGAGAGGGAGAAAGGAGGAAACGAGGTGGAACAGGCAGTCAGATGCCAGGGTAGAGAGTGTCTGGTAGGGCAGAGGAGGGACCTTGGGTTTTATCTTAATGGTGATGGGAAGAGGAGTGATTAATACACTGTATCTATTCATAATGACAAATTCAATTAATATTTGAATAGCTGTTTACCTGGTGCCCAAGATGCAGAGCGCTGCATTAGGTTCCCAGGTTTTGGGAATACCGACATGAGCTGGGCAGAGGAACTCAAATTCTTGTTGGAGAAACAGTAGTCTAATCCATTACTATCTAACGTTCATCAAATACTTGCTGTGTGCCAGGCATAGTTCCGAGGGTTTTCCTGTAATGCAGTAGCTCACGTAGTCCTTAGGAAACAAAAGCTTATAGTCCGTTATCACCCCATTTTGCAAATGAGAAAGCTGGGGCACAGAGAGGCTAACTACGTAAATATTGCCTCTCACCTTTCAAAGAAAGGAGAGCGAAATCAATGTGCTCCCTTTGAGGTTCAAAGAACACAGGGAGTGCAGAGCAAACGGTACCCTGAGGGAGAACGCAGCCTAGGGATTGCAGGTGCTCTGGAGTGAGTCTGCCACCCACTCTCTGTGATGGCGGCCACATTGCCTCTTCTCTCTGTGCTTCTGTCTCCTCTTCCATGAAATGGGATCAGTAGGGGTATCCAGCCCATAGGATAGTCGGGAGGATGAAATGAGACAGTGCCTGGGAAACGCTTTTGCATAAAGCCTGGCAAATGACGAGTGCCTCTCAAGTCGTAGCAATACACCCACAAGGGATTAGGGAAACGCTTCATGAACTGGCCGCCCTTGGGCCTGGGCCTTGAGGGATGAGTGACCAGAAGCAAATGTAGATAAGTTCATTTTAGGTTGACAGAGAAATTAATGTGAAATTAATGGAGTGTTGAATGTTCACGGTATGGTTGGGTGGTGGGTGAGGATGTAATAGACAATTCTTTAAATCTATCAATCTGACATTGAGGAGATCTTGACTGCCATCCTAACTGCAGTGAACTTGTTTTACAGGCCCCAGGGAAGCTTTGATCCTTTGAGCATCGGGCATCCCGTGATTTGACCTGCACTTTCGTAGACATGCCCAGCAGGAGCATGAGAAGATTGCAGTGGTGCAGGTGATAAATGCTGACAGTCTGACTCTGCACAGGAAGGGGTGGAGAGGGGAGGTGAGGGGTAGAGACATTGCAGAGGTGGAATCTACAGGTGGAGCCTGGTTTACCAGCTCCTTGGAGCTCCACACACACACAAAGCAAGAGAAATGGGATTTGCCCCATCCCAGCCTCTTTCTGTGTCCCCCAGGCATGAGTCTCCTGATAGTTCCTTAGTTTTCCCATCTGTCAAGTGGGAAAAATAAAACCAGAATCTCATGGCTCCCAGTGGGGTATAGTGCTATGTTGTGTTATCATGGAGAATCCTGTGGAAATGCAGGCTGGTTTCATTCCTCCTGCTAATAAAGAACTGTCATCCTACCAGAATACAGTACCAAGAACTTGCATTTTCTAAGTATCGGAAAGCAATAGTTTGGGTTTGAGCTGTTCACTCACTTATGATCTGAGATAATTCTAAAAAGATTTCGCAGCTTAGTCTAATTGGGTAATTGGGATGTTTCCAGATGAAATTCGACTTGTATTTTTAAAAAACGCTTTGAAGAACTGGTTGCCATGGTGCTGTTCTGCTGACAAGATCCTTCACTGGCTCCCACTAAGCAGCAATAATGGGCTTCTGTTTATTCTAAGTTTCAGGTTACCCCACCTGAACATCCTCTGGAAGGAAGCAAGGTATAAACCAGAAGGAATTAGTGAAGTCTTTCCCTCGCTCTCCTTGATTGGGGGGCGTGTCTCAGCAGACAAGGAGATTTGTCATTGCAGGGGGTGGGGGTGGGGGTGGGTAGGAGGAGTGGGAGGGCCCAGGCCTAGTAGAGGCCCAGCTGGTGTGAAGGGACTTCCCAGACCACTTCACCCCAGGGCAGCTGGGAGTTGAGGACGAAACCACTGTACATCTGTCGCAGTATAAACGGGAAGGTTGTTTCAGGATATGAGTACTAATCCTCTCATATTTGTGGGCAAATAGGTGTTTGGCAGAGAGAATTTATTTTAAGAAATAACATGATTTTAAAAATTAATATTTATGTTTTTATAGTCACTGTTTTAAATTTGAGAAAGCCTTTGTTCTGACTCAATTTTTCAACCTACTGGACAATAATTCTTACCCATCGTCCTTAAACTTCTTGTACCCCAGTGTTTATTATAAGAATGTGAAACATCTTCCCCAGAAGCAGTATTTTTGGCTTCATTAAAAGTTTTTCTAGTTCCTCTTCAGTCATGTCAATATTTACCTTGGACAATGCTTTGTATCCTTTTGTTTATAATTCCAGAATTCTCCAAGACAAACTGATTATTCATGACTCTCTGGCCTGGGTTACAGTTTGAACACACCTTATGTTAACATTTTAAGGGTACGACTCCCCCAGACTATTTCCTCTACTTCTCATAGATTCATAGTTTGTAACCTTCTACTCTCACGTCAAGCGCTGTATTTTTTCTCCTTTCAGGTATCTTCCAAGCACATCTTTTTAGTTGATTTTACTCTTAGAGCATTTACTTAGAACATTAGCAGGTGAACTTTTTCGTCCTTGCCTTTTAAAATCCCAGGATCCCTCTGCCCTGCCAAGGATGCTTTTACAACACTATATTGTAACCACATTCTTTGAACACTTCCATTGTTTTCCTAGAGAGCACACTCTTCCGTGTTGCCCACTCCCTCTTGTTGAATTTCTGGCTACTAGTGCAGAGAGCACATGACCTCTGTCTTCGTTGTCTAAAGACTATATTTAAACCCCCTAATGTGTAAAAGGAGGGCTTTGTGGCCGAACAAACACCATAAAGCTACAGCATGTTTTCTTGAGAAGCCTATTTATATAGAGCCAGTCATCTTTCCTTAATCATTCAGGATTTTACGATTCTCTGTATTTCCTTCAGTTCTCTACACATGCCTTACAGTTGTAGAGGATTTAAAATTTACAAAGTATTTCACATATATTATTACATTTGATCCTTATAACAACTTTCTGAAGGAGACCCAGAGGATTCATGTGACTTGTTTGAGCTCACAAAGTGAGTTGAATAAGACACAGTTTTTGCCCTCGAGGATATTTATATTAACAAATGATTTGGTTTTATGTAAGTCTTTCTGTTCCTCTAAAACACTGTACTTTTTCTTGATTTGGGGACATTGTGTGTGCTGTTTGCTTTGATTGAACTGCCCAACTTCTCCCTTTGGCTAGCTAAACTCCCACCCATTTTTCAAATGTCAGCTTTGATTTCACTTCCTCCAGAAGTATTCCCTGGTCCCCCAAGTATGGGCTAGGATTTCTGCCTTTGTGCTCCCATAACACCCTTAAAAATACATAAATAAGTTTATCATAGTGTCTGTCACCTAGCGAACACTTGATAAGCTTTAGTTATGTTATCATTCGCCATCCTCTCTCTCACCGCACTGTGTATATCGTGCTTGCCATGGTATCTCCAGTCCCAAGCTCTGAGATGGCGCTCAATAAATAGTTGTTAAATAAATAAAAGATGCACATTTGTCTTCTGGTTGGTGTAGTCTTGGATCCTTGAGTTCAAGAACAAATGCCAGAGCAGGCTCCAAGAGCGTCCAGAGAACTTTAGGTATTTTCAAGTTCATTCTTCAGAGCACTAACTGAATGTTGGTAGTAATATGGCTATCTGTCATTTGTCCAAAAAAACACCCTTTTCCCCTTACTTTGCTGTTACCTCCCCATTTTTCTATGGTGAACTATCCCCTTTCACACTTTTGATTCGTGTTGTTCAGGGGGGCTGCCCACATCTTGGAACCGGGAGTATTTCTAATAAGCATATTCCATCCCCTAAGTGCAGTGACAAGCTTCGGGATGGGCACTCAACCCAAGCTGGTAACCCTGGGACTTCTGCTGAAACTCTTAGGTAAGAAATGATCTCTTTCTCCTTTGAAGGTTGCGGGCAATAGAAACAAGCCTGGAACTGCTGGTTCTCTGGGAACTTGTAGAGAGATCAATGAAGTCATCACAGGATGACCAAAGCAAAGAGGTGGTGATAGAATGAAGGCATGATGAAGGCATCATTGGATTCAGTGTACCTGATCCCTTGAACTTCCAAATTTATGAAGGGATAGATTCCCTGTTTGGTTGCAACTGGGTTGAGTTGCATTTTGGTCAGTCACCAACAACTAATAGAGTTCTGACTAATTTGGTGGAAAACAAAATACCATGGTATTTTTATTACTGACATTAGTTCTTTTTGTTCCTTTGTGGTTTTGTCTTATGCTTTCACTTCTTCATATGTGTTTTGCATCCATGTAATTTGTCTTACATGGTTAATCAGGAACCAAGTAAGCAAGCATGTTTTTGACTTATTTTTCCCAAGTTCAATGTTGTGTAATTGGCTTGCTTGATGTGCCCCCAGATCATATTTGAGCCGAGCACACGGTCTGGGATCTTCTTCCAGGAATGGGGATGATTTTACACAGGTTTGTCCACATGCCCACACCTTACCTGTTGGTCTCTTGGGCTAACTTGTGGGAGAGTGAATTCACTGTGGTCTGCGAGTGTGCCCTGTGATCTCAAAGTAATGCAAAGCTCCTGAGCCTGTGGAATCAGGGCCACAGAACTGAATCTGAAGGAGCTTCGTTCCCAGATCCCGGTACACAAGGCCTTTGTTTTCTCTTTGGAGAGCACTTTCGGCCCCCTTAGAGGGCTGGTGAGTCAAAAGAAGGTGCAGACTATTTGGACTTCATGGTTGGCGGACCCTGGTCTCTAAGAGTTGTAGTGACTTCTCTCTTGGACCTTTTTGTCTTGTGGATCGAAGCATAGAAACATCTCTCTTTCCTAGAAGTCCCTGATGAGGTGCCAATGAAGATCCCTATGGTGATTGTTTACCATAATCAATAAACTCATCAATTGCTTTCTATTCCTGATTCATGGAAGGCATACTAGTAACTAAAGCAAGGAGACAGAGATTCAGTCCTAGCTTTGTGCCAAAACGAATTCTTGGAAACTAGATCATTGAGTGCATCACTGTATAATGGACAATACTTTCCATTTAAACAGTATTATATTTGGGAGTTGTGTTCCTGAACAAGGCCCTTCATTCTCATCAAATTCAAGATGCAAACTGCAGAATCTTAAGATAATGAAATTAGGATCTAATTCCTATTAAATTGACAAAATATGAAATTTTAAGTTTTAAATGAAACGTATGTTCCTTGCCCATTGCCTATATAAGTGAAGTATTCATATATGACATAAAAATCTATTTGACGGGGCCAGCCCCATGGCCAAGTGGTTAATTTCGTGCACTCCACTTCAGTGGCCCAGGGTTTCACCAGTTCGGATTCTGGGCACAGACCTAGCAGCGCTCATCAAGCCATACTGAGGCAGTGTCCCACACAGCACAACCAGAAGGACCTATAATTAGAATATACAGCTGCCTACTGGGGGACTTTGGGGAGAAGAAGGAAAGAAAAGGATTAGTAACAGATATTAGCTCAGGGCCAATGTTTAAAAAGAAAATCTATTTGACTATTACAATGTAAACAAAAGAGCAATGTGCTAATTATAAAAAGTATTCTTACTTTGGAATTAAATTAATTTTGCTTATCTTTTTAGATTCTTGAAGGATTTTTAGGAGGATGTTTTGGATGATTTAGAGCTCTAAATTACTGCCCAATTACCTTTGAACTGGCCTTTTCTTTTACATTTTCCTACAGTAAGCATGGATGTGTTAGTCTACTGTGTTACCAACTGTGTTAGAAAATTCTTGTTTATGATGATGGTGATCATAGTGATAGTGGTGGTGTTACACTCCCTGAACCTAGTAAAGACATGGAGAAGTGACATGCAAATTGTCACCTGCATGTAGCAAAATTTCAGTTAACAAAAGGTAGAATAGTATCCATTAGGTGAAATCCATTTTTGCTGTGAAGCATATCTATAATGAGGCAATATCTCCTTCCTCCCCTCGTGAGGCTTAGGTAGGCAAAGTTTAGGGCTCACTTCCATGTGGGACATAGCAAGTTCCTTTTGCCCTCTCCCTTCATCGTGTGTGTTGTTTCCTCTACTCCTTTGTCCCGTGATGTCCTAATGATAAGATTCAGGTTTAGGCTGATGGGCAGGAAGATGACCCAGAAGTCCTGAGCCGTGACCCTATCAGAGAGCTCTACCTAAGAGCCTAGGACACAAGTACAACTGACAATAAGGTATTATTTATTTTCTTTTGTCAGAGTTTCTTGTGCATATGACTTCTCAAGAAATTGTCTGTGGATCTAGGTTTCTAGATCTCTAGGACAAAATCATCTTCATTCCATCAATATCTTATATTGATTCCTAACAGAACCAAGAGAGAAAAAAGTTTCCTGCCTAAACCCCAGGTAACCTGAAAATTCAACTAAACAGCCTCCTCCAAACACTACAGTTCACTGAAGTTTGTGCCTGTTCTTGGAAAGAACAAACTAGATGAAACTGACATTTTGAGTGCTGTATTTTGCATTGAAATAGAAATTGAAATAGGCTTGTATGTTTGCTGGCTTGTTTTGATAGCATTTTACCGATAGGAAGTTTGGGGAGAAGGGTTTGAGGGGGCAAATATCTAGCTTTTGGTTTAATCTCAGTGAACATTTTCTCCAATCTGTACCCTATTGATTTATTTACAAATGGTACTTAACAAGGTTATATTTTTGCTTTGGAATCTTATAGTGGCTTCCTATCTTGCTTACCTAGAAGGTCTT